GAGGTGGGACCAAACATCATTCTCTCGATCCGAACAAAATCATCATCAGAGACGTGGCAGGCAAGGCCCCTGGGGGAACCAACCCAAAGTCGCTCAGTAACCAAACTGTTCATTCCAAAGAGCCACGACAAGGTTTGAAAAGAACCCACATACGCAACGTCCAGGGGAGAGACACGGAAGGTTACAGTCTGTCTATGTCTGTTTGTATGACTGCTTGTGTATGTCTGTTTGTATGACTGGTGTGTCCAAGTTTATGTATCTGCTTCATGTAATCAATAAACACAACATTTTGCCTTATCCCCATTTTTAGGGTCTCGCTCTTCATTCGAGCTATTGCCAATTTTAAGTAACATCAGCTGTTTACAGTCCAACCTTGCAAGTTGTTAAATTTTCCAGTGCAGGTGTTCAGCACTCTCAGCTTCTGTCACAAGATTGGTCCCTTATTAATGATGGCAGTAATATATAACAGTGAGAATTATTTAGGAAGCATGTTAGTGTGGCAAAGTGGGGGTCCTGGACCAGCCAGAGTGCTAGTTTCCCCACCTCCCTTTGGACACGCCACCCACCTGTCTTGCCTGCCACACCTTGTTGTTAATTAAGGCAGGAGGCTGCCCATTCTTGCCCCGATGCCAGGGGGCGCTATCTGCAGCTCCGTTTCTCCCCTACATCATAGCCCAGGCCTCGCAGATGGCATCTAGATGACAGTGCTCCCGGCTAACAGCTGAGCCAAGCTTAGGCCTTGTTGTCAGGCTTCAGTTACACACACATTCATACTGCCCTCCTCTCACTAGGGTCTCACACACTCCACCCCCTCTCACAGGGTCTCTTTCATGCATCGACAACTTACACTGCCTTGCTCCCTCTTGGAGCGGACCCCTTAGGCCATAGGTTTTAACTAGTTCGTACCTTGGGTGGCAGACGTACCGTCTTTTGGGCCTCTCCCATGACCCTCACCCAGGTAGTGGCCAGCCAATTACCTGACCGGATCTAAGCTTGCCCTGGCTTGTTCCAGGGCAACTCTCTACATTCAGACATACTGGGCTCCCTGTCCTCTGGTTTTCCCCTTCACTGGGGCTCCACACCGCCCCCTTTACTGGGGCTCCATATCTCACGCCACCCCCTCACTGAGGCCACTCCCCTACTGAGGCTTCTCATCTCCACTCCCTCACTGGGGCCACATTTCTCACACTGCCCCCTCACTGAGGCCACCATCCTACAGGGGCTCCACATCTCCACTCCCTCACTGGGGCCATGGGGCTTCCCATCCTGGTGGGCTCAGGTGGTCATAGCCATGCCTGGTCCCAACTCTCTCTCCTCAAGGCCTTGCACCCCCCCATAGGACTCAGGTGGCCACAGCTGTACCTGGCCCCCACTCTCGCTTCTCAGGGTCTTGCACCCACAGGGCTCAGGTGGCACAACCATAATTGGCCCCCACTCTTGCTCCTTGGGGTTTTGCACCCCACAGGGCTCAGGTGGTCACAGCCATGCCTGGCCCTAAATACCTCTGATGATAAATGACCCACCCAAAGGTGACGGCTGGGGTTAAAGCACCCCAACCCGCCTTTCATGGGGGTGATAACTGGCCTGGCATTTCCTAGGGGCTTCTGTGCCACTGAGAGCCCCACCAGGCTACCCACTCCCAGCAGGGTGCAGTTTTAGGTCATACCCAGGACCAGGAGGCTCCAAGCCGTCCCCTTCAGCTCCTACCCTTACCTTCAGAATGTTGCATAGAGCCTTGCAGCCAGGCAGTGTTACTGCCTGGCCTGCCAGCAGGGAACTGCTCTGTTATATAGGTGGCCAGAGATCTAAAATGGCCGCTGCAGTCAAGCACCTGCTGGCTGCTCAGCTCAGGTCTTAAAGTGGCAGGCATCGAGAGTGCCCTGCCACACATCTTCCCCCTTAAAGTGGCAGGCACTAACAATGCCCTGCCACAGTTAGGGCCAAACAGTTCTACTTACTGGCATAGTAACTTGTTTTGTCTTGATACTTCTAAGACAGCTTGACTATAATGCCAGCTTAGCAATGATTCTAGTTTAATCTAACTATTACATAATTATCAATATCTTTATTTCAGGGAACAAGACATACACAACCTATTTCACCTGTAGAGGCAGCAAAACTCTATTCCATGATACAATCCTATGAGAGAGATTTTAGAACAAGAGGAGTCAGCCAACATGAACAATATTTCTCTGATTTAAGTGAAGAAACTGGCAGTTCAGGGAACCAAGTAAGGAGATATAAACATAAGATAAATCGGGTGTGAACAGATGTAACAGTTATACCAGCACTAAATTGTCACAGTATAAGATGTTCTGAAGGAACTGTTATGTCTGTCCTTTCTTATTGTCATGTAAGTAGAACTAAAGGATTGTAGTAGAACTAAAGTAGAACTAAACCATGTTTCATTCAGTTTGCTTCCACTTGCAGTCTAAGTACAGACTTTTTGGGGCATTAGGAGGAAAGTTAAATCAACTCCAGATGGCTGCCCAATATTAGGTAAGTCAGGATTGTGGGGGCTAGCAAGGAGTTGGGGATCCAGCAGTCTGGAGGGGATCAGGTGTCTGCCTGCACATGGGTGGGCAGGCACAACCTGCAGATGAGTTGGGGGCAAGCATGACCTGTGAGGGGTAGGGGAGCAGCTGTGACCCGTGGGTGGGGTAGGGGGCCTGGCATAACCCACAGGGTTTTTCTGGGGTCTGGGAGTGTCTGACAGGATCCATGGGGGGTTCTTGGAGGGGGGTGGAATCAGGGGCTACTTTTAGACCACCACCCCCCATCCCCACTGGCAAACCTACACCCCCATTCCTCCCACCCCTCCCCACACTAGGACTTCCTTGCTCAGCTCCGGCAGCACCAAATGCTGATAAAGGTAGCTGTACCCATAGCGGCTTGTAAGATGGAGGTGGAGAGGGATAGCTGGGCCAGAGAGCGCAAAATATATCCCAGTGCGGGGCCAATGAAAAGAGCAACACTGGGGCCAGTGGCTGGGTTTTCCCAGCCCTGGGGCTGTGTGAAATGGCAGCATTCTGTTTCGACCAGCATTTCAACGGAACAGCGTTCCATTTCAAATTTTGTTTCAATTCGAAACAGCTGTTCTGTTCCATTTCATCGAAACAGTTTCGCCGTTTGAAGGCTGTTTCGCTCATAGCCTATAATGGGGAAGCTCAAAACAGCCTATAACCTGACCATTTCTGGCCTGATTTGGATGAAACTTTCAGGAATGGCAGCCCCTTCTGAGGGCATGAAGCCTGCCAAGTTTCAGGGACATAGGTGCAGGGGGTTTGGGGAAACTGCACCCCAAAGTCTTGAAAGCAAAACTCATGTCACATGTATGTGTTAAGCCACAGCGGGGTCAAAACTGCAGGCATGCTAGCCCCTGAGGAGGCCACAAAGACTGCCTTGTTTCAAGGAGATAGGGGTAGGGGTTTGGGGGAAACTGTACCTCAAGCTGCAGACAAGCAAAACTTGTGACATGGGTCCTTGTGCAACTGACTGTCTGTCTTGGGGCAGAGTGGGGTGAAAACTGTAGCCCTGCTACTAGTTTTGCCTGCCTGCCAGAACCCCCCTGCACCTATCTCCTTAACAGCTGGCAGGCTTTGTGGCCACAGCAGGACCTAGCAGGCCTGCAGTTTTGACCTCACTGTGGCTTAACACATACACGTGACATGAGTTTTACTTTCAAGAATTTGGGGTGCAGTTTCCCTGAACCCCCTGCATCTATCTCCCTGAAACGTGGCAGGCTTCATGCCCTCGGAAGGGGCTACTATTTCTGCAAGTTTCATCCAAATCAGACCAGAAATGATAAAGTTACAGGCTGTTTCAAGCTTCCCCATTATAGCCTATGTGTGAAACGACAAAATTTTTGACTTGCCTCGTTTTGTTTTGAGGCTGTTTCAACGATATCTGTTTTGTTTTGATTTCGCTGTTTCGATCTCTAAACGAGTTGAAACAGTGTCGAAACAAAACTGGTGGCAAAATTTTGCACAGCCCTACTGTGCAGGGCAAGTCTACAGAAGTTCTGTTCACTGGTTTGATCTAAATCATATAAGTTTGATACTACATATATCCAGGTTTATCTTAAACTGGGGTCTGCAATTTTTAAACCAGTTTGTGTTCATGAAGCTTCTGTACAGTTACAGTTTTAGACTGATTTAGCACTGGGACAAGCTAAGTTTAAATCGGGTGGCCACTTCAAACCCAATTTAACCTCCCAAATATCTATACTTAACCCTATAGACAGATGTAACAGTTAAATCATAACAATTGATACATGCTCCTGTCCAGCAAGCCCCCACTTTAAAAACAATTTGAAGTTACATCTGCCCATGATCTTAGTCTTCAATTCAAATATTGGCTGTATTGTTTTCTAGGCTTTTTAAAGAGGTTAATTAAACTACATGGGCATAATTATAAAAATGCTACTGCTACTGTGATGCATAACATTGTTTATGCCTTTTCATGAAAGGCAATAGAGATGAATCATGATTCTGGACTTCTATTTTTCTCATTATGAAAATAGTGTGCTTGATTTTCAAGGTATAAAAATCTCTTTTAGATGTTTTGAAGGAGTAGACAAGACTTTTCACCTATAGATGAGAAAGAGGAAGTAGGTTTGTGGAGAAAGTGGCTATTGGAGAGAATATTATTTCTCAAAATAATATTAAAAGATGATACATGGAAAGAATAAAATTAAAAGATGATGCATGGAAATCTTCAACAAGTGCCTGAGCTTTGGCCACTCTTTTTTTTTTTAAACCTTTTGACTGCATCTTGTCAGTCAGGGAGGATCTATGCTGATCATAATTGGAAGAGGATAAAAACTAAAACAAAATTAAATGTCTAAGTTTTCAGTGTGCTTGGAGGAGGAACCCTTGAGGCAGAATTGGAGTCCACATGCCAGATTTATGGACAAGCACCAGATGACTCTGAAAGAACTATCACTACAACTTGAAAGCAGATCACAGGAAAATTGCTTACCACAAAATCTGAGTGAACATGATATGAGACGGTATGCTTTAGTCAAGGAAAATGTGATTAGAAAATTTCACCATAAAACAGTCTTTCTATTCTTAACAGCATTTATGTCCCCATTCAATCCTTGAAAACTGTGTATTGTATTCAATACAAAACTACTTACCTATTACGAATGCCATTCATACCTGAGTCAAGGACTATCATAAGGTTTTGCCCAGTTCTGTCTCACCCCAGAAGAGCAAGTGTGTTCTTCCCCAGGAGGTATATGAGTTCCATGCTCTCAATGGGTAGTCTGTGTGCCTCCAGAGCACCTAGGCAGACAAGGTTCCTTGGGTGAATTTGATATCTTTTATTAGACCAACCCAAATAGTTGGAGAATAGTTATTAAGCAAGCTTTCAAGTTCAAAAACCCTTCGTCAGGCTAAGGAAGTTTCAGCAGTTGATGTGTGCTCTTCCTGGATGGAATGAAAAGTAAAGAAGCCAGCGGCTGGGCTGGGGAGTCAGTTGCCAGGCAGATTATAATGTATCAAAAATCCAATGTCTATGTTTAGTCCGTGATCTCTAGTATCCAGGAGGTTAAAGAAATGGAGCTCATAGGTTCGTCTCTGGGAAGTGTTGTGTAAGTTTCCCTCAAGGATCAGGACTGAGAGATTGGAGAGAGAGTGGCCCTCCTGTGAGAAATGTGCCCCCACCAGTAATTGGGTATTTCTGTCTTTGCTACATTTCCGGTGTGCGTTCATTCTGGTGCGCAGTTGTTGTTTGGTCTCTCCTACATATTTTCCATCAGGGCATTTGGTGCATTGGATGAGGTATACTACATTTCTGGAGGTGCAGCTGTAAGATCCGGGAATGCTGATGGCTCTGTTGTGGGGTGTAGTAATAGTGGGGGTGGTGGTGATGTGTTGGCAGGTTTTGCATTTCTTGTCCTGGCACGGTCTGGATCCTTTTGGTGTGTTCTGGGCTTGAGCCATCAGCATCCCAGGATCTTACAGCTGCACCTCCAGCATCCCAGGATCTTACAGCTGCATCTTACCTACACCCCTCCAGAGCACCTAAGCACTTATCAAGGAGGCACCTAAAACAACCAATTGAAAATGCTGGGAAGAGGGGAATCTGAATGCCTTGGAGCTTAGGCATCTGAATCAGGGCTATGAGAAGGCACTTCTGTCATGTTGGGATCCAACTTGCTCAAAGAGGGCCTACCTGATCCCACCATGGGCTTCAATGTAAAGCACATTGTGAGGAAAAGGATGACAGCCCACCCACCTTTTGCCCTGTAGCTTAGGGGTTAAGACACTAGCTCAAGAAATGGAAGTTTGGGCTTCTAGACTCACTGAACCCAAAGGGGTTTGAATACATACTTCTCATGTGTCCCCCGGGAAGAGCCCAGCAAAACCCCCCAGCCTGGGACTAGGAAAGGGATGGTGGGAGGGGTGCTGCACAGCCCGTTGCCCATTCCCAGTGGCATGTAGCAGCAAGAGCCATGCCCCCCCTTCCCGTGCCCCACACCCACTGACAGGTCCCCCCCCACTTTGCTCTGTGCTGCAGCCCCGGGAACGGCCGACGGGCTGCGCAGCACCCCTGCCACCGTCTGTTCCCTAGTCCCAGCCTTACTCCCTCCCTGCCTCACCACTGATTTTTCCCCGATTTAAACCGTTTCTTTCCCTTTTCTTCCTTTTTTCTTTATTCTCCCTTCCCAAAAACAAGGTGGATGTCTTATTCAGGGACATTACTCTGCCCTTAATGTGTGCGTAATACGAGCCCTGCAGTGTTACGCTGCTGAATGAGAATTACCAAGTGACACTGAGTGTTTTCATTGCCCTAGTTAGATGGAATGAAAAATCAAACAACTTCATAAGTGAAAATGTATTTAATTTTGTTTGAATTCATGTTATGGTCTTACAAAGATTAACACTTCAAAGATAACTTTGAAAAAGAAAAACCTTGAGTTTTTAGTACTATAGGCTAAATCATGATGTTTGTGTCTGTATTGGGTTACAGTGATATGGAGTTCTGCAGCAGAAAGTAATTATTCCTGTATTTAAGTAAATGATTTTTAATGCGCAGTTTAAAGGGACTGAGGCCTATGTGAAGGCCAAAATCTGAGGATCATACTTAAGTAACATTTGGACTGATTTAAAAAAAAAAGCTGCAGTCAAGTTTCATTGATCAGATTTGAGAATATTTGTGTTTTCTGGATCACAGATTTTTATTGCTTAAAAGTTATATTTATTTAGTAAACATGTCTAGCTAGTATGTTTTGATATCCTTATGAAGTTTTTCTTGTAATCAGTTTGACAGAAGAAGCCCTTATGCAAAAGGCTACAGTACAGGAAAAACTCCTTGAAGCAGAGATGGCAGTCAGCTCAGCAGAAATGTTTTTGCCAACTTTTAAAGAGACTGTTTTGAGAATTACAAATGTAAGCATGTTTTGTTTTTCTGTATTTTAATTCTATATAATCATTTGTTTAGATGTCCATCCTTAGAACTGAAAATGAATTAATGTCCTAGGACATGCTCTGCTAGCATTTTTATTATTGCCGCAGAGTGGCAAGAGTAAAGGGGTGGAGACCCCTTTCTCGGGGCCAGAATGGCAGCAGGCAAACTCCACAGTCCTTGGGAAATGGCCCTGAAAGCCCCACGACCCTGAAAAACCTACCTGACAGGCACAGTGGCAAGGAGTGGGGAACTGCAAATGAAGCCACCTGCATGGTTCATCAGCTGCTTATCAGTGCAGCTGGGGGCGGCGCAGGAGGATGATGTCATCAGTCAGCACCAGCAGACATCTTCAAAAGCCGTCTGCCAGGAACAAGCCAGGGAGCAACAGCCTGGAGGCAGCTGTATGCTTCTGGCTAGCACGCCCAGCCATACCACAAGCCAGGGATGCCAAGTAGAGTTCTGAAGAGGAGCTTGCCACCCGGGTGAGTGACACCCAGCGCTGGACAATAAAAGGATGCCGAGGGACTAATGCCGCAGCAACACACAGGGACGCGTGAGTAGGGAGGAGAGACCTCTACCCTCCTGATTCTTTTTTGTTGTTGTTGCTATTTTTGCATTACTCCTGGAGCCAGAGACTGGGATGATGGACCAGGAGTCCTCAGGGACTCTGAGGCTGAAGGCCAGTTCAGTCAGACTAGCTTGTTCGGTTGATCCCAGAAATATGGTCGCAAGGAGGAAGATTGTTCTCCTGTGTCTGCTGAGCATTTTACAGGCTGAGCATGGCAGGAAGATTGGCTGACCAGTGACCAGTATACAACCAGATGTTGTATTTACTAAAATCCATCAGAGGACCAGTCGGTGTGATGACACACTCAGCGGTGTCGGAGAGGGCTGAAGCTATCAACTAAACAGCCATGATCACCAGGTTGTGTATGGAAGGGGTGTAAGGAGGTGGAGGCCCAAGGACGTCCGTATGCGACACCTCCAAGCAAGTCCAAGACAGATGGGAACCTCTCGCATCTAAACTTAAGAGTAAGACATGGCAAGCATCGGGGTTTCCCTAAGGATGTGGCGTACAGCGAGCGCAAGTGCTAGAGAAAGACCAAGTCTGAGCCTGGATCACCTGGCCCTGAGCCATTTGGGAGCAGTTGCTCGAGCATAGGCGGGCACAGTTATCTCCCCTCATTTCTACAGAAGTAAATTTCTGCTTGAATAGAAAACTTGCCAGACGTTGACTGATGCAAGCTGATACTGTAGCCAAGTATCTTGAAGTAGCTTTGAAAGGTGAGATGATTTGTTTTCATCTCAAAATCAACATTAACTTTGAACCCGAATGCCATCTGTGTATTTAAAGTCAGCATTTTTTAGCTATTTTAAGCTACCTATGCAGAAACTTATTGCATATTGTGGGTTTGTGAGCAAGCCTGATTGTGCCAATATTTACAAATTATGTTGTATGGTAGATAGTAACAATGCAGGAGTAAATAGAACTAAACCTTTAGTTGAAGATGTGCCCTTAACATTTTTTGTTTTTTCTTGTTTTAGTTTTAAGATTGAGACATCTATATTTTTGCATTTCCTTATAAGTAATCAGTTTAAGACTTGTTCTTGGGATTTACCACCTTTCTGCATAAGGAAGTCAATGTTTCCAACAGTACTCCAATCTATCTCCAGCTGTATTGAAATAAAGGATCTTCTGAATAAGTAATATGTAAACCAAAATGAAATTAACTTCTGTGGTAGGACTTCTTATTAAAAGATCTAGTGACCAATTCTCTCTCGTTAGAGCAGTATAACAAATTTGACTACAAGAGGAGAATTTCATTTTTGTCAGCAAAAATTTAAATTTAAATTTAAGAGTAGTATATGCTTGCTATCTCTTTTGCAGACTGAAGAGTGCATAGTGCATTTCAGTATTTTATGCTACAATGTATAAACCTAATTAAGCAGTATTTTGAACATTCCTGTTGTTATTTGAAAAAATTATTTATTATTTTGGCTACTTTAGTAAAAGTCTAATATATTTGTGGCTCAATATTTTATTAGGCATGTAATTTTTCTACATCAGATGTGATAAAGATTTCTAAACAAGAGGATTTATTGCTTAAAGAACTAGAAGCACTCAGATACACAAAGGAATTGTTACTGCACCTACTACAAACAACAGACTATAAAGAAGTAAGATGATCCAAAGCAATCTTGAATTAATTTAAGAGTAAACTGAACACACATTTTAAATGATCCTTGTTCTTTTCTAGCAGTGTTTTCAAAGACAAAATTGTTATAAAAAATGCAAAATATTGTTTCAAATATCCTTTACTGTTCAAGTTAAAAACAGAATCCCTTTTCAGGTTATTTAAAACACATTTTTACTCTGTGGGAAGAGTTAGCTGTTTAGGAAAATCTGTGCAGTGCTAGTATAAAACTGTAGAATATCTTAATTCACTATAATGTCTGTTCGTCTTTTGTTCAGATTACTGTTAGGTTTAAAACAAGAATCCAAATAGCTTAACTTTCAAAGAAGATTTTAAATAGCTTTTAATAAAAACAGAGGAGGAAGGATATATTTCTTCTTTTCTACAGCTTGTATGCATAAAATAATCAAAGAAGGAGAGAATGTTAAGGAAAGAACAAAAAGAAAAGAAAAGAGAAACAGCATGTCTGCTTTCTATTATTTGTCACTAAAACAAAAATGAAAAATATATAAAGTTAATTATATTAGAAGTATGGGCGTCATTTAGTTCATTTGTATTTGAAAAAGTCCAGTTCATAAATGTTCTTATTCATGCAGGTATAGAGTGAATTCATAAAAGGACTACATAAATATGCTCTGTCTGTTCATGCATGTATATTTCATCTCAAGTCATGACCCCAAAAAGCAATGTTTTGCCTAAAATCCATCAGCATGGCATTAGAGCAGGCATGTTAGGCCTAGAGTACAGTCTCATTTGCTAATTCTCTTTTGTTCCCTTTTCTAACTTTCTTTGTCTTTTTACTTTATTTCTGATCCATCTGTGGTTCCCTATTTTGCTGGTTGTCTCTTGTCACTTATTATTCATTCTGGGCCTGCTCCTGTGAGGTGCTGAGTTACTTAAATGGGTTCGTTCTCAGCATGCTGAAGTTAAAATATTTGGGATTTAGTAGCTGGAAGTTCCATCAACCTGATTTGTGGGTTGATTAGGTTGTTATTTTTTTAAATTTCAGTTGTAGTGAAAAAAACTAATAAATAAGGGCAATTTGATTGCCAAATCATATAATTGACAATTATATTGTGGTTATGTTTATGTACATTGTTTTGCTGTTCCAAATTTATTTGCTTTTGTGGCATAAAATAACTTGGGATTTTGGGATCTAGCAGCTTTTTGGTGCTGTTTCATGTAGGTTCACAAAACCAGCATTTTCAGCATTGGACTACTTCAGAAACTCTGATGCAAATGCTTTGGAGAGTCTTCAAAATATGATGCATGGAATATGTACTTTTATTTAAGTGACTGTTTGCAGAGGAAGATTAAATAATTATGGATATAAGTGTGTATTTAACTTGGTTTGACCTGGAACTAACCATGATGTGCTTCCCCTGTTAAAAGATTCTGTGTTCAAAGTAAATGGAATACTTAAGATATTTATGACCAATTGCTCATGCATATCTAAGTAAAGGTTTTTTTCCTTTTTGCTCTTTTATTTTAGATTAGTGTTTCATATGTGTAAAATTTCATTGGAAGTATAGTAATATGCTATGGAAGTTGTTCATTTAAATTAATTTAATGTGCATCTTTCTCTGTCTTGCAGGTAAGCAGTGAACATATTGATATTTTGATGCAGAAGTTAGTTGAAACTGAAACTGAAATTGATGTAAGTAAGCTTCAGTGTCTAGCCCTTTCTGATATCCAGGCACGTCAAAACAAAAAGATCACAATCTCCTACAATTCACCAGGCAGTTTTCAGACACTGGAGGTGGAGGGCTCTTTGATATTTGTCTTGCACTGTCATTTAGGAAGATGTTAGGGATACTTGCCTGGTTCTCGCTGTTTTTTATTACTTATTTCACAAATGATATTTTGCAGGACTATGATCTCATCTTGATTATGGAAGTGAATTATACATTATAGTGATACTTTGTAAGACTATAACTGAAATGTGTTACTCAGACCTGAATGTTCTGTATATTATCCTGTAAACAATATGGACCCAGGTATTGGTCAGTGTAAATCCAGAGACACTTTAATGGAACAACAGTTGATTTTGCACTGATGAAAATTTAGTCTTATTTTTCAAAGGCGAGGTGTTTTTACATTAGTGTTATGTTTATTCAAATATGCCATAATCTTTTTATTCCGATATAAGTGAACAGGTGACGTAAGGTAGGAAGAAAAGCGTGGATTAATTGTTCCCAATGATTTACCATTTTTGTTGTAGTTTATAAAATATTTCATCCCACTATGGGATCACATTCCTACCCAGACAGCAGCACTTGTAATCAGGCTGCACAGTTTTGAAAAAGAAGATGGAAATAGGAAGCATTAAAACTCGGTGAATCAGCCCCTCAGTTATGCCATCAGTCACAGATGAGAAAAGGGCATAACCATATCATTTAAGTAATGAGAGCCTTAGAATGAAAGATGTGAGTCCAGATGGTTATTTTTGTGAGATGTGAAATGTTAATAATTTTTGTAAGAGGCAAGGAATTTTGTGAGTGATATCTTTTATCGGACCAAATGTATTCTTGGGAGGGACATAAGAAGCTTTTGCTACCAAAGTTATCGTTCCTCAGATCTTTACTTAAAATCTCAAGGAAGTCTCACCCTGAGGAAGGGTACTGTTGTACCCAGAAGTTTGTCTGTGTCCTTCCCAACTATGTGGTTGGTCCAATAACAGATATCACTCACAAAAATCTTTGCCCCTCATATTTTTCCCAGATCATCATAATTACAACATCACTCCAACACTACCACAATAATTTTTGTGCCATATGAATATTACAACAAAACGCATCATTCCTTCAGTAGCATTTTTTAACGTTAAAGTGTTGCAAGTTGAAGTTGGTTTACCAAAGTATTTACCAGAATACTCAAGAGGAGCAACAATGCACTTTACACAGTGCTTTTCAGTGACAAATCTCATGTTGTACACAGAAAAAATTAAGTACTACCTTCACTTCACAGGTGGGGAAAAACTGGAGTGAAGAGTGGTCTTATGGCTTCTCTGTAACAAAATAGCAAAAGATAGCCAGAAATCTAACTTAAGTCACCTGATTTTCAGTCCTGGCAAAAAGTGACTGCATTGGAAATTGAAATCTAAGCACCCAGGCAATCTCCTGATACATGGCAATATTAGGAAACCCTAAGAATAGATGAATCTTTTGAGGCAGTTTATAAAACAGGATCAGTCTGGAATGAGGGGTAGAATATACATGTAAACCTTCCAGCCAATACTCTTTACGGTTAGGACGCCTTTCCTCACAAAAAAGATTACTAATACTTTGGTAATACATATTATTGGAACTGTCTTTAGGCTTTTTTAGTTTTGTCTCCAGAAAATTAATTTTCATTCATTTATCTTTGTTTTAGTTCTTTACTCAATATACCATTTCCCTAGGCAAGTTCAGCTTGTGGAAAAGGTGCTTAAGAGGGGCCATGATAGCAGTCTTAAAATACTTGAAGGGCTGTCATAAAGAAGAGAGAAAATACCTTTTTTCTCTTGCCGCAGAGAGTAGGATACAGACCAGTGGCTTAAAGTTGCAGCAAAGTAGAGATATTAAGAAAAACATATTTCTCGTTAGATCAGGGAGGCTGTGGAACAGATTGCCTGTGGAAGTTGTGGACTCTTCAAGAGAGCTCAAGAAGAGGCTGGATAGTAGGGGTGTGCGAAATGGGCCGTATTCGATTCGTTGATTCTGATGACTGTCCCCGACTCAATTCGGCCGAATCTGAAGATTTGATGCTGATTCAGAGAATTAGTGATTTGGCCATAGACACAGCTTTAAATGTTTTTTCTATAAACCTCAAGGTACCAGGCGCAGCTTGTGAACGCTGCAATGCTGGGGCAGATGGAGCATCCCACAGAAGCACAGGAGAGCCCCCCACGTGCTCAGCAATGAACCCGGAAGTGGACCGGAAGTACTTCTGGTCCACTTCTGGGTCTGCCGGGGAGTGCACTGGGGGGGCCTCCCCACACCCCCTCAGCTCAGTGACCAACCACAGGGGGGGACCCCAGATGCCCCCCCAAGCCCAGGAGGCACCAGTCGCCAAGCCGGGAGAGCAAGGGGGGGGGCCCGGCATGCTCCCTGGCAGACCCAGAAGTGGACTGGAAGTGCTTCTGGTCCACTTCTGGGGCTGCTGCTGAGCGTGCTGGGGAGCCCCCCGCAGTCCTGCGGGATGCTCCATCTGCCCCACCATCACAGCATTCATGAGCCGCCTGGTACCTTGAGGTATGTAGGAAAAACATTGAAAGCTAGGTCTATATCCGAATCACCAAATCTTTTTGAATCTCTCCGAATCAATTCGGAGAATTCCAATTCGATTCAGAGAAATTAAAGGGTCTCCTCATTCGATTCAGATTCGGAGATTCAGCCAGCAAATCAGGCCAAATCTGCACCAAATTGAATCAGGGACCAAAGCTTCACACAGTCCCACTGGACAGCCACTGTTCAGGGATGATGTAGGTGTAGCTGTTCCTATGTTCTACTATGAGTATATCCCATACCTCTGGGCTTAACTGGTTGTTGTACGGGGGCTTGGAGGGAATTTCCTTCCAATCGCTGCTGCTGCGTGTGCCAGGGTTGTTTTTTTTAAGCCTTCTTAGAGGCATTGGGTGTTGACTGTAACTAGGTTTGTGGATTTTGAGTGGGGTTTGCTACTGTTCCTGCTGGGACTTAAACCCAGAGGTTCCTGGCTAGAGCGTCTTGCCTCTTTTATCAGGGTTAAACCAATTGCCATATTTGGGGTCAGAAAGGAATTTTACTTCAGGGTCAGATTGATATGGACCATGGGGTTTTTTGCCTTCCTTTGTGGCAGGGGCAATTATTTTGACTGGAGAGCCACTTAACAAGTTTTGGTGAGCTGTTGAGGGCCTCACACAAAATCTTTCAGAATATATAATTTTAATAAATTATAGATAACAAACAAATGATATACAGGTTTCCCTTGCTTTATGCGGGTTCTGTATGTGCAAATTCGTTCTTATTCAATGACCCTTTTTATACCAATAAATTCATTATATGCAAGGTAAATTCACTGTTATGCAATCGGTGTGATGGAAGCCTGCAGTCAGCTGCTTTGTGCAGTGCACTGTGGCAGTGACGTGCACCAAAATATAATCTCCTATGTGGATCTTTGCTCCTCGCTCGTTGTCTGCTACATGTGTTTCTGTAGTGCACAGGTTTGTTATTACCCTGAAATAGAATAGTTTTCTGATAAGCATACTGTTAGGTTTACAATAATTTAGATTATTAGGAAGTATTAGCTTTACAGCTGAATACAAGGCATGACCTGTGGCCTAGCAATGCAGCTGACCACAAGGCAGATTGATAGCTAAGCCTTTGCTTGTGTCAAGTAATCATTTTAACTGTATTAAGCATTTTCTGAGTTAAAAGCAGCAAGTATCTCTGTGTCTGTGTGCTGAAAAATCAGCTACAGCAAGAAGTAAGATAAGACAGGGAAACCATTGTTCTGGGTGCACTGGTTGTGTCCTTGAGAAGTATCTACTACTGTGTAAGGTTTTGCTAACATATTATAATGTTACTGTTACTTAACTTTTAGCTTTTTAAAAAGTGCTAGTTCAGCTTAATAAAAATATGCTGTTACAAAGATTTGAAAAGCACCGCCCAAGTATTGCTTTTTTTGTTAACCATGAAGTCTTGCCTTGTTGTAATAAGTATAAAAGATCACCTCACCCTTAGGGGGGGGGCCATTTTGCCTTTTGCTGGCTTTATGGTCTTTGCTCGAGCAAATAAACAGCTGTCTTTCTTTACCCGCGTTGTCTGTCAATCAAATTACAGCTAGACAACGAACCTTAGGGAGGTTTCTCCCACCACAATTTGGCACCCCAGATGGGACCCGTCTAGCTTGGCGCCTTTGGAGACCTCCATCCCCCGACACCCCAGCGCGCACCAGGTGAGTTCACCTATTGGGTTAGTCTCGGGAGGTGGATGGTCCCCTTGGGACCAATAAGGCGAGATCCTCAAGTCGGGTAAAGGAACGGTACCGGCGAGTACCTCAGGTCAGGTATGTTTTTGGTTTCTATCTGGTTTCTGGTTTTCTGGTTTTACCTCTAGAGGTCTCTGGAGGCAGTCTTTGGGGGTGTCTGTCTGCTGATTTGAACGCTGTTAGAGCCGGCGGCCTGGCCGGGGGGCGAAAGACACAGATATAGGGTGGAAATGCTGTTGTAGCGGCCAATGACTAGGGTCTCGGACTCAAGACGCCCCTCCTCACGGAGAAAGCCAGTGGGGTCCTAGAACACCGGTTGTTGTACGTGGACGAAACAGCTTCTAGGCAGGTAGAACTTAGGGAAATAAGACTGCTTGTGCTTGGATATAATCATGGGTTCCGGTCTAGGGAAAGTCATTCCCGATTCACCCCTTGATTTTATGATTAAGAATTGGAAACATTTGGAGGGACGGGCAGAACTGTCCAAGTCTCGTATG